AGGCAGTTGGGTGTGAATAAATTATTTCAATCCAATCCGTAAACAGAGGCCCAAAACCAAACTTTTTAAGAACATACTCATATAAGGCCATTCTACTTGATCAAATGCTCGTTGTGCATCTAGTGAGACAACAATGGACTCCTTTGAATGATTTGAATATAATATATTGAAAAGACGACGCAAATTAAAAAACATATGCCTACCTGGCATAAAGCCAGTCTGATCCGGGTGGATGTAATCAGAATTTTTTTATCATGAAATGTAATTTGTTTACCAATAATTATTAAAAATATTGGATAAGATAATTGCTTAAAATGTTATTTCTAACTGGACAAACATGAATCACTGGAGGAGAGATTTACTGTACCAGCTTACAGGCATAAAACATACAGTGATATTAAAATTCAACATGTAACAATGCAAAACATGAGGACTAATAAAAGTAATCACCAACAAAAACAAATGAAACAGTCACCTGAACAATCACAGACTGCAGGGTGAATACTGACAGTTATTTGATTGAATGAAGATAAAAATTGATCAATTTGCTGCTTTGCTCCTCAAGTTCCTGCAAAGCTCTTAAGACCTGACTGAAACCAGAAGTTATGAGGCAGAAATGATGCTAAATGAATGAAGGAGAATGACTGAATAGTGAATAAAAATTAGAAAAAGCATTTACAAGTTATCTGCAGTTTGAGATAACTGCATATTATCTCAATCTGTTTATTAATATTTTTCCCTCCTTGTTTCTTGCTCAATCTACTTACTACTGTAGGATCTGAAGCCTTTTCCAGTTCATCTGCAAGTTCTTCCAGCTTCTCCCAGCTTTTCCCGCAGAGGATCATCCTGGCTCCTCCTCTGTGAAAAACATCTGCACACTCTTTGCACAAGAAACAGAGAAAACTGGAACATTTCAGCCAACTTTCAAACACGGGACTGTTTTATGTCTGCCTCACCTTTTCCCAGCCCAGATAAAGCATCTGTTATTACCACCACCTTATTGCGTACTGATGTTTTAGACAGCAGGCTGATTATGGCGCCGTAGAGGTAAAAAAATCCAGCTGTTAGCACCACAACGCAAGGAACCACCAGGATGGTGGTGGTCCATGTCGGGTCCATCTCTGGAGGGCTGCCCTGCAAGATTATTTCATTTGACATTAATTATCCAGCAGCCATGTTGACAATAAAGTCACTGAAGATGCTCAAGCAAAAATATGAAAGAAAAGTTCCTCATATTTTCAGACAACATGCTCATCAATGCAAACAAGCTTGCATCAATCCTTGTGCTAAGCTATGATGGTTATTTTAGCTTAGCATAAAATAAATGACAGAAAGGAGAAAAGTTAACATAAATCTCAATTTCAAACCAAAACACTTCTGCATCTAAATGAACATATTTCATTAGTTTTTATTTTTATTTTTACATAATTTACTGAAATACATTTTTGAACTAGCAAGCAGTTATCACCACTGTTAGCCAGTTAGCTCAGCTAACTGGCTAATATTGAAGAGATGCTTATTCTCTAACATTCAAATCAACATTGGACCACAAACTTTAAAGCTCATCTTAAAAAACCTTCAATCATATATAATTACACTCTATTTTTACTCTGCGCATTTTAAAAAGCAAATTAACAAATTATATTGTATCAACTGGCTCCTATTAGCTTAGCAAAAGGACAATCAAATCTGAAATGGATCAATTCAAAATTCTGTTGTTTTTAATTTTCATTCAAGGTTTTGTAATTATTACAGGAATTAATGTCTCATATCTGCTAAAAACTGAGCAGAAAAAATTTCAGATTTCCAAGTATTTCAACAATACACATTGAATTAAAGCAAACCAATCATGATTTACATTATACAGTCATGGCAGAAAATATAAAGTAACTGCACTCTGTCCAGTGGTTCTCCATATCTGTTGGGTTTCTATGCATTTCAGGTTAGCTTTAAATTATTCAAGATTTTAGTGAATCTATCAGAAGAACCCCAGAACTAAAAGTGAGTGTACTTTTTTATTCCCATGACTGTCATGAAAGGTCATTGTAAATAGTTGTTATCTTGTGTATGAATGGAAGATGATTCTGATTTCAGTAGAAACATGAGATGGATGTTAAAATAGGTTCTCATTCCAGTCGTCTCACCGTCTCTGAAACATTGGATCTCATCTCACCCTCTACTATCATTTTCTATGTAACTATGAGCTCTTAAGGTTCTGAAACAAAGACAGAAACACAATTTAAATACGGTCAAAACAAAAAAACTGGATGGATACAGAATAATAAGTATTTGTATAAATATAAAACATCTGGATGTAAATCATTAACTTAGACCTTTTTAAGGTCTAAGTTAAAAAGGTCTAAAATCTTGAATTTTTGCCTACAATTGATTGCAAAGAAGCCATTTTGAAGGCAAATTCTTTGTAAAAGATATTTTCTAAAATGATTGTCTGTTGCAGCCACAAATTTTATTCCATTTTCTTGCAATTTTAAGATTTAAAAACACCAAAAGGACAGAACTACTGAGTTGTTTTAAAACTTTTAGTCTATCTGTGTTTCATTTAACCTCCAGCTGTTCTGTAAAGGCTTCAGCTGTTTTTAGAATAATAATAATTAAATAATGCAGATGCTGATGGCTGGGGGCAGATATGATCACATCTGCAAAAATACAATAAAACCAACAGAAAAAAGTTGTTTAGTTCACTGCAAAAACACAAAATCTTACCAAGTAGTTTCATCTATTTTTAGTACAAATTTCTTAGCAAACTTAAACTGAGACAAATTAACTTTCAAGAAACTTTTCAGCAAGACATAGCAGCTTGTTTTAAGTCAATAATTCCTAAATCTTGAGAAAAAAGTTTGAGTTTCACCGGCAGTTTATTTCACTTAAAGACATTTTTCCCAGTGAAACTAGAACTTTTTATCAATATTAAGGAATTTCTTAAAACAAGCTGCTCTGGCTGAAAATTTACTTCTAAATTAGTTTTGCCAAGTGAGATATTTGTACTAAAAGCTGGATGAAGATACTTGGTAAGATTTAGTGTCTTTTCAGTGTTTGAGAAAAGACAAGCATTGAAATATGCTGCCTCGGTGAAACAAACAAAATGATTAATATAAATGCTCAGAGACACAGAACGTCTGTAAACCGTTCAGACCAAAGACTGAAAACTATTCGTGGATCTGAGGCGACGCAGCTGCAGGCCGGAGTCCCAGAGCCCATCTCACCTGGAAGAGTTGTTCTAGATTTCTCTCATCCAACATGAGAAAACCAACAAGCAACATTAGAATCCAGCCGGAAACATGACAATAAGCTTTTGATTTGGAGCTGTGCTGCCGAGCTCCAGTCGTTTGTCCAAGTTAAGCTCTCTATATATAAATCAGAACTAAAATAGATGCTGAACTTTTCAACGTCACCCAATCCTTCAACAGCTTGATCAGGAGAAAAGAAAGGAGTTTGTTTTCTGCTCTGCTTTGTCTTTCTATATTCCTTACATTCCAGTGAAATGCAGGCGCATTAAAGAGTTTAAATCACGAGAGAGAGAGCTAAAGGACTTCTGGGCTCCCACTTACTGTTTCCCAGCTGACAGCAGACAGTCGGGTCTGATTCGCCTCCTGCGGAGCTGCAGCTGCAGGTCTCAGCTCGGCTCCTCCAGCGCGACAACTGGCCAGACTCTTGCCCTCTTTTAATAGCCGCACAGCTGACTCTCCCTGTGCGTTGTCAACATGGCATGTATGGACTGCAAGACCAGCTCAGATCAACATCTTCCTGTTGAATGATCATCAATTTAGTAATCAATTTTTCTATTGATTAATCTGATAAACATTTTTTTTTTGGCACATTCTGCAGATTTTTCATTTAATTTCATACAATGTCAGAAATACACAACAAAATGCAAATAATTCCATTCATTCCAAATAAGAAAATAAACATCTAATAAAATAACAGCGATTCTTTCTGCTTGACTTAACATCAGTAGAGCAAAGCGCTGATCTGGTGAACAATTTTAATTATGGTACTAAATGAATCTAAAAGATCCTGAATATAATTTTGTTTTTCAGAATTTGAACCAAGTGAAGCTGAAACCAGTTCTGGGTAGAACAGATTTACAAAGAATGTAGTTCTTCACCATAAATTCAAAATGTAAATATATACATTTATATAGTTACAGTTTTGACTTAAGATATGTTGTTCTTTTAGCAAACTGCCCTTTTGGAGTCTGTATATTCCACTTAATTATGATTTTATGAATACATGAGTCCAATCACAGTTAATCTAATTATCTATTTCAGTCCTACTTTAGTTTTTAATTTTTAAAATAAATTTCTCAGCATATGTACTGTTATATGAATTCTGTCTATTAGAAAAGGTTTAACTTACCCCAGGGCAACTGGAATAAGTGCCAAAATTCTGCATGAAGACAACAATAAAAGCATGTAAATATAAAGATATAATATTCTCCAATGTGTGTGGTAAAATATAAATTTTTGTGCAGAGTGACAAAGTCCCACTGTTTGATTCGCTAATTGATCCACTGAAGACTGATTGGATGGATTTCCTCACTTGTTGGAGTTTTAACAGATTATTAAAACTTTACCAAATCTGGCCAATATTCTAAAACCGGTAACAAAATTAGTTTGCAAATGAATTAAAAGTTCTTTACTGTCAATAATTTAAAGGCCAGCTAAGTTAATAGCAGTGTATTTTTCAGTATTTAGATATGAAGCATTAAAAGATATCATCATAAATGGATGTACAACACTGTGCGTGCCACTGTAAATGAGATGCAATATATACACAATATTTCCACTGCGAGTTTTCGTAATTTTCCCACATGGAACATCCTCCAACTTCAGAGAACTGGCGCCATCTTTTTTCCACCAGAAACAGGAAGGTTCGAAGCTTTTATTGTGAAGGTCTGACCGGATGTGGCTGCAGCGCTCAGAGAGTCCTCGGGTGTCTGCGCTGATACAGCAGCGGACAGTTTGTTTCCTCTGCTGCCTCTCAGCTTTTCCCTCCGCAGCAGCTTCTTGTCGACATGATGTCAGATTTCGAGGAGTTTGAGAAACAGCTGAGCGAGAACCGACAAGGTGAGTTTATTTACTGATGTTTTAATGTCTTCCGGGGGCATTTTCTGCCTGTCCCGGTTTTTAGGCGCTAGCTAGCGACGTTACGTCTGCGCGTGCCGCTAGCTCGCTGATTTTATGAATGAATAAACCGGCGTGACGACAAACTCCATGTTTCCGTAGTTCGGATGGTTCCGTGCGGGTCCGGGGCCATCCGAGCCGGTGATGAGGTCCAGACCGCATCCATCATTTCCAGGCTGCCGCTCAGCTGCAGGGGGAGAGCCAGCAACACATGATTATTATTACATTCATCCATAACAGGAGAGCAAAAGCTTCATTTTTTTCTAATCTGCATCCACTCATATGCAAAATGTCATATTATTTTATTTTTTATTGTTGCAATTATTCAGTCACGTACATGTTTAATTAGCAGGTTTCTGGATGTACTTCATCCAGAGTAGAAATAAATGTGCTCAAGTAACAATAAAAAATAGTAATCCATTAAATTACTCCAGTAAGAGGAAATGTTAAGTCAAAAGTCTTCTAAGTACTGAGTAATAGATCATAACATCTGATTTAATGCTTAACCACGTTAAAAATATTAAGTTAGCTGGAGATTCTGATATTTTAAGGACTAAAAAATAAAATAACATAATTCTAAATTAAATTCAGGCAGAAGAAATGCTTTTTCTACATGTATTAAACTTTACAATATTATATTACCTATTGTAAAGTATTTCTAATCTCTATATCTACTATTTACTTTATCTTTCTGTAAAAATGTGAGTCTCACTCAAGCCTGTTTTATTTATAAAGTTTCTCAAAGTGGGAACAGTAATCAGAAATTTGACTTTAGAGCAGCAATAATAAGGCAACTATTGTACAAGTAAAAGGAACTGTTGTGTCTTTACTCCAACATAGTATAATTAAATAAAGGATTCAACTCAGAGGTACAAATGAACCTGACTTTACTGATCTCCACTTCAGTCTCAATGTTACATATCAATGCACTGGCGGATAACCTCCAGGTAAACTCAGAGTGGTTCCGCTGAAGTAAATAGATCCACTTCATAGGTACAGTGTGGTAAAACTACTATTGTTTTAAAAGTACTACTGAGTAAAGGTTCTTAGTTAACTCTCATCTCTGGTTTAATCCTGACAAACTCTATATTTTGCAACTTTTCAGACAGAATTATTGTATCGGCTAAAACTGGAGTCAGTAGGTTGGGTTTTTAAAGATCGGTCAGAAAACTGCTCTGTGTTTAATGGAGGATGGTTCTCTGTCCACAGAGAGGGAGAGGGAGCGGCACAGGAAGCGGAGTCGCAGCGGGTCTGCAGGCCGCGGCGACAAGCATCGCAGCTGGAGCAAAGACAGAGGGAGCCGCAGCCGGGAGAAGAGGAGCCGCAGCCGGGACCGGAAGAGCCGGGACCGCCGCAGCTCCTCCAGGGAGCACAAGAAGCACAGGTCAGGCTCCTCCTCACCGAGAGGAAAACAAACCCATACTGAGACACCGGCCGTTACCAACAGCGGTTTATGTGGTGCTTCTCTCCGTCCAGCCGCTCACCGAGGAGAACGAGAAAGAAAAAGACGTGTAAATACTGGGATGTTCCTCCTCCGGGTTTTGAGCACATCACACCGATGCAATACAAAGCTATGCAAGGTAACCGTACCCTTCCCTCCGTAACTCGGTGACAGCTCTTTTAGCGTTTGATTGTCTGTTTCATCGGCTGCTTCGTCTCACGTCTGTCCAACACCATCTCTCCCTCAGCGGCGGGTCAGATCCCCACCATCGCTCTGCTGGCTACCGCTGCCACCACCGGAGTGGCTGCTGCGCCCGCGCAAGTTCCCATCGTCGGCAGTCAGATGACGAGACAAGCCAGGCGGCTGTATGTCGGGAATATCCCCTTTGGCGTGACGGAGGTGAAGGCTGCACCATGCTGTGCTGTTCCTTAATCCTGCATCAATCTTCATCTTGTTTTGTGATTCTGCTGCGCAGGAGTCGATGGCAGAGTTCTTCAACGCTCAGATGCGTCTGGCAGGCCTTTCACAGGCGCCGAGCAACCCGGTTCTGGCTGTCCAGATCAATCAGGACAAAAACTTTGCTTTCCTGGAGGTCAGCCTTAAAGATTCCAGTCAGTCTTTTGTAAAGCTTTGATTTTCGTACAATTGTTTTTACTGATTTTAATTTTTCTTTAAGATGTGTCACATAGAAAGTCTTCCCTCATTAATAATTCATATTACTTTCTGCAAGACTTTGTGATAAACATTTAGAGTGTATTTGGTGCAAACACACAAATGATGCAGCTTCAAAACACACAAATGCAACAGAAAAACACTGCAACCACAGCAAATAGAAGTATTTAAAATGGAAAGACCAAAACAAAGAAAACCATCAAATATGAAATGCTGCAAACTCGCTCTACAAAATGGAGGTCCTCCAGACCACTAGGGGGAGTCGACCAACAAATTATCTGCGACCAGACCCAGTAAAGACAGGATGTCTAGAAGAAAGATGGAGAAATAAAGTAAAAACTGCATTATTCTTTATGTCTTATAATGTTATAGAGCAGCAGCGTATTTACGTAGGTAGCAATATCCAGACTCCCCCTAGTGGTCTGGAGGGCTTCAGTTCTGTTCAGCAAGTTGGAATCACTTTATACTTGTTGATTTTCTTTACCATCTTCTTGTCTTTTCCTTCCTGTGGTTATAGCTTTTTTTAGTCTTGAAGGATTATTCTGCTGCATTTTTTGGGGGATTTATGAAATCCTGAAATTTAAAATTAGAATATTACATCAGACCAATAAAAAAAATGAAAAACATGGGTTTGATGATAAGTATGTTTTCTAACTTCTTAAAATATAATTTATTAAATGGTGTAAACGTCCTGATGCCAGTTTCTGTCCTGTCTCTGTCTGTCTCTGTAGTTCCGGTCGGTGGACGAGACAACGCAGGCCATGGCCTTTGACGGGATCATCTTCCAGGGTCAGTCGCTGAAGATCCGACGGCCTCATGACTATCGGCCCTTACCTGGAATCTCGGAGCAGCCGGCCTTCCATGTCCCAGGTTTCCGCCTCTCCGCTGCAGCCGCCCCGCTCTGCTGGGCGCTCTGCTGGGCGCTCTGCTGGGCGCTCTGCTGGGCGCTCTCTAACTCTCCTGTCCTCCCGATGCGTAGGCGTCGTCTCCACAGTCGTTCCTGACTCGCCTCATAAGCTTTTCATCGGAGGCCTTCCTAATTACCTTAACGACGACCAGGTATTTACTGACTGCAGTCTGCACAGCTTCTCTTGTTTTCCTCTCTTTTCTCTCTCACACTGAGCTTTTAGTCGCTCTCAATCGGGCATTAATGGCCGCCGAGGCTTCCTGTAGAAACATGGCACCTTTAATAATGATCATAATGCAGGCAATAATGCAATAATGTTGAATATTTTGTGGTAGCTCCAACATGATCTACATTCTTGATGTAAAAGAGTCCTGATAACATTCTAATGTTAAGCAAAATGATGTAGGAAAGGTAAGTAAATTTTAGCTTTATTATTTCTAAACATCGTTTATTTCTCTCAAAGAAAAAGTCCACCTGAATAAAATACAAGCAAAGCTTTTTATCAGGTAGTTTAAATTTGCCTTTCTGGATTTTTTCAGTTGTTTGGTGTTTTTTTGCGTTCAGGTCGACGATCTGTCTGCTCCGTTGGATGGAACGGAAATTTGATGGCTTTATCTGCGGTCAGAGATGTTCATCAGATATGAACAAGTGAAACGTCTGCAATCTGTGGGAGTTTCTAGTCCAGATGTAAGGCATGAAGCAGGTCTAACATTCATGACCAGCTCCTGTAAAATGAGTTTTCATCTCCAAACATAAAGCAGCTGATGAGGACGAAGCGCTGAAACGTCCCTGAACGACTCCAGAAACGCCTCCAGCTGCAGGAAAACTGAGTGGACTTTTCTTTTGAGTCAGACGTTGTTCAGATGTAGCCGCTACTTTTTGCTCATGCAGCCTGTTGTCTGTCATTCTCTTTTTCCTCTTCATTTCCTGAATAATTTCAGTCACTTGTTCTGCGTTGATACTCACAGCTCTTTCATTTTTGTCCCCCCACTTTGTCCCCAGATAGGGGCCAGTCAGATCGTTAAGTCTGCGCTCATAATTTGTTCAGTAGTACTCATCCACTGCTGCCATGCCAACATGTAACTCCAGGCAAGTAAGAATCTCTGGCCCACACTCGGATCCGCAGCGAGCCGCCAGGCTTTGATTGGATGGTTTATTTATTTAGCTTCAAAAAGGCAGGGCTAGTTATTAAAATATTAACTACTTGCAGTATGCAAACAAACTTCAATGGATTTTATTTGGGTTTCAGGTGAAGAACCAACACAATGTCTGGTGCTCAGAGAAGAGGAAGGGAATCAGTGTTTTTCTGAAAAGTGTGGCATGCATTTGGATTCAAGGAGCTGCACTAATTTAGGGCTGAAAACTAACATGTTATTTCCCTAAACCTGGAATCTGCAGCCTCTATAAACCGAAGAGTCCTGATGAACAAAACTCATTTAGAGCCAGAGATGTTAAATAACCTTTTATGAAAAAATACCTTGAATGTCTACTGTACAAAATGTTATTTTATTTCTGTGTTCAGATTTTACAACAAAGAACAGCATAAAACATTAACAAAAAGAGGATTTTTACATTTTCTTATTTGGGACGTTTCAATGCTTAGTTTATGTGGAGTAAAACAAATCAAATCTATTTTTTTGGTGATTTTAGTTTTTTAAAAAGAAATAAATCAATTCGAGAAGTATAAATCAAAAAATATCCATGTGTTACAATGGCCTAGTCAAAGTCCAGACCTGAATCCCACTGAGAAACTGTGTCAGGATTCTAAATTGACATCCACAGATGCTCTCCATGCAGTCTGAGGACTGTGCATGCTGCACCTTTCAGTTCAGGGGGGTGGATGCTTTTGGATGTCAGTGATGAGGGATGAAGATGCACCAATGCATGGCTGCAGCCAGGCAGTGCTGCAGCCAGGCAGTGCTGCAGCCATGCGTTGCATCCTGGCGTTCAGAGGAATTTCTGCTCTCAGAGCGACTCTGGCTGCTGTTTGCAGGTGAAGGAGCTGCTGATGTCGTTCGGGCCGCTCAAAGCCTTCAACCTGGTGAAGGACAGCGCCACATCGCTGTCTAAAGGTTACGCCTTCTGCGAATACGTCGACATCAGCGCCACCGACCAGGTAAACGCTCTGCTGCATCCAACCGCAACAGCAGGCAGTTGGATGCGTCGGTTGGATGCGTCGGTTGGATGCGTCGGTTGGATGCGTCGGTTGGATGCGTCGGTTGGATGTGTCGGTTGAAGCTGTGCTTGTTTCTGTTCAGGCGGTCGCCGGGCTCAACGGGATGCAGCTGGGCGACAAAAAGCTCATCGTCCAGAGGGCCAGCGTGGGCGCCAAGAACGCTAATCCTGTGAGTTTGAGATACGATGAATGACTGAAAAATGAGCAGATATGAATTAGGTCAGGAGTTTTCAAGATGTGGGCGAGCTACAACTTTAAATTATCAAATCTGTTCATTGTGTTTCTGTTAATGTAACATTAAGATTAATAATTACATCAGAACTTGGCTTTTGCAATAGGATGTTGATAACAGAAACTAGATATGATGTAGGAGCTTGTGGACAGGCAAAACCATAAAGTGGCTCTTAAGTGCCAAAAATGTGTTGAATAAATTTAATATCAAATAAATACACAGAGACAAAATTATGCCAACAACACATACAATCTTAAGCAACCAATTTGATCCTCCTGCCACTTTAAAACTTATTTTAATTTAAGGTTTTAATTTACATTTAAAATTTCAGAAAAATTAGATTTTAAATTAATTACAAATTACTTTCTTCAATAATTGATTAATCACATATCATGCAACAAACAAAAAGTTATTCCTCAAAATTTAATTCACTATTCTGTTTGCATAAACTGAAAGTAAGTTCAGTCTCTTCCTTGAAAATATTACATTAACATTTATTAATGTTAAAATATGTTAAAAATACCATGAAATAAATAAATGGGTCAATGGCAGTTTAGCCGAATTGTGAAGAACCTTTCAGACATTAGACTAAAATAATCCACAGGGGCTGTTTCAAGATTCTTATTACTTTCATAGATAAACTTATCAAAAATGATTAAAATTCATTATGGACTTCTGTTCTGCTAACGCTGAAGTGGTAAAAGAGACAAAAAGAAAGAAAAAAATACATTCTAGTGGTAAAATTAACAATCATGAACGAAACGATCCAAACGGGCCGAATGTCAGTTTCATAACTTATATCAAGATGTTTTCTTCTTCAACTTTGTATTGATAAACTAAATTTCAGTAAGTTTTTTTTATTTAATAAGCTCCAAGTAGTGACTGCAGGAGTAATTCACTTTTACAACAGCGCCCCCGGTGGCTGGATGAATGATTACACATAAAGTTGGTTGAACGTTAATTTCGCTAGTTCATGTCTTTTCCTTGTGCCACGCCCCACCTGAAGAGCTCTGGCACCCCTCATTGGTTCGCGCCCTCTCTTTGAAAAGCCCTGTTATCTCATTGTCTGTCTGCAGACCTCCATCATCGAGACGCCGGTGACGCTGCAGGTGCCGGGGCTCCAGCGGCTGCAGAACTCCGGCCTGCCCACTGAGGTGCTGTGCCTTCTCAACATGGTGATGCCAGAGGAACTGGTGGACGACGACGACTACGAGGAGATCCTGGAGGACATCCGCGAGGAATGCTGCAAGTACGGCAACGTCCGCTCCATCGAGATCCCCCGGCCCGTCGACGGCGTGGAAGTCCCTGGCTGTGGAAAGGTTCGCAGTGAGACTCTTGGCCCGTTGAACTCGCATGTAGAAAAGATTAAGCTGTTACACACCTGAGCTGAAGTGTTCCTTGGCTCATTGCTGCCATCTTGTTGGTTAATGTGGAGAAACTTCTACAACTTCATCTCATGAGCCATGTTTCCCTCAGCATTTTTTATCCACGTTTTGAAGTATCGCGTCAGAAACGATTAATGGAAAATCAGATTTCCTAATTAGTTTCTTTTTGCGACATTTTAAAAGTTTGCTTAAAAATTTCAACTAGAAGGAAACATGACTGCTAGCATATATTTAGCAGCTGCGTGGTTTGTACGAGAACAGGTAGTTACATAACGGGTCGGTTCTGATCTATTTCTCTGCTCCTTTCCTCCAGATCTTTGTAGAGTACGTTTCTCCTGCAGACTGTCAGAAAGCCATGCAGGCCCTGACCGGCCGTAAGTTTGCTAACCGGGTGGTTGTGACCAAATACTACGACCCGGACATGTACCACCGACACGAGTTCTGATCCACTGGTCAGCCTGCTTCCTGTTCCTCCTCTGGAGGGAAGCTGGAACCGTCACTGTGTCATCGTCCTCTGGACCCGGAGCACCACAGAGACGCTCCAGAACCTCAGACTAATTCATCCGGATTAAACGCAGAGTGGTGTTTCCATGGAATCTGGATTAATCTGGGATTACAGTCAGGAAAGTTTTAGGTCTGGAAAACAAAATCAGAAAACTTTGGAAATTATATTTTTCAAGACATTTTCCATCATGTCTGTCCTGCTGTCTGTTTCCTTCATTGTGTCCATTATTTATCATTTCTTTACTCACATCCTTCACTCCTTCACACTTTTCTTCCTTCCTTTCTTTTTTCCATCTATCCGTCCATCCTGACTGTTCTAGAAATATCGACTTTGAAAAAATTGTGAACTTTTGTACTTATATTGTAATTCTGGATAAAATTGAGAATTCTGGGAATTTGATCCTGGAAAAGTCCTGATGATGATGATGATGATGATGATGGTGGTGATGATAATGATGATGGTGATGATAATGATGGTGGTGATGATAATGATGATGGTGATGATAATGATGGTGGTGATGATAATGATGATGGTGATGATAATGATGGTGGTGATGATGATGTTAATGACGGTTATGATGATGATGATGATGGTGGTGATGATGATGATGGTGATGATGATGGTGATGATGGTGGTGATGATGTTAATGACGGTTATGATGATGATGGTGGTGATGATGATGATGGTGGTGATGATGATGATGGTAATGATGGTGATGATGATGTTAATGAAGGTTATGATGATGATGATGGTGGTGATGATGATGGTAATGATGATGGTGGTGATGATGATGATGATGATGATGGTAATGATGATGGTTATGATGATGATGGTGGTGATGATGATGATGGTAATGACGATGATTATGATGGTGGTGGTGATGTTGATGATGATGGTGATGATGATGATGGTGATGATGGTGGTGATGATGATGTTAATGAAGGTTATGATGATGATGATGATGGTGGTGATGATGATGGTAATGATGATGGTGGTGATGATGATGATGATGGTAATGATGATGATGATGGTAATGATGATGGTGGTGATGATAATGGTGATGATGGTGGTGATGATGATGATGGTGATGATGATGATGATGGTGGTGATGATGATGGTAATGATGATGGTGGTGATGATGATGATGATGGTAATGATGATGATGATGGTAATGATGATGGTGGTGATGATAATGGTGATGGTGATGATGATGGTGGTGATGATGATGATGATGATGGTGATGTTAATGACGGTTATGATGATGATGGTGGTGATGATGATGGTAATGATGATGGTGGTGATGATGATGATGATGATGATGGTAATGATGATGATGATGGTAATGATGATGGTGGTGATGATAATGGTGATGGTGATGATGATGGTGGTGATGATAATGGTGATGATGATGTTGATCCTGGTGATCCTGAGTCGTGTTTGCGGAGCAGCCAATCAGAGCTGCGTATTCAATCCAAATTCAAGCTGCCTGAGCGTCGCTGAGGAAAAACAAACTTTTCTTCGGTCTAGATTTTCCTCCAGAGCTCAAATATTTATTTATTTATTCTGCATTTAAAAACCCATCATGAAATGTTGCTGCAGAGAAATATTTATTAAATTTATAAACTAAATATATCCTGCTTTTTGCTCCAGATGTTATTATTCCTTTAAACTCTACTGTGCAGGTTTGCTGCTAAAGTAAATTATGTAAATATGAAACATTAGTCTGGAAATGAAAGCACACAAACTTCAAGCTGCTCCAGTTACCCAGATGGAAACTTGACCGTTTGCTGAACCTTTTTTATTTAAGATCCTTCAACATAAATGTTTAAGTTAGGGTTCTTACCCTTATGAAGTATTATATTTACATGTATTTAATATATTTTATTATTTTATAAGTCACATCTGACCATCAGTGGATCTACAGACCGTGTATATTTAGCTGCCACCAGTAGGGGGCACCAGAGCACATAAAGAGTGAAGGTTTAACAAATGGTCAATTTTAGTGTATTACACAATTTTCCTAAATTTTTAAACAGTGAAGAACTTTAAAAACAGTTAAACACATGTTTAGAGTAGCACCTTTCTAGATTTGTAGAAGATGCACCGAATAATTCACAGTTTACCGTTTTAATGCTGTTTCATCCTGAAATGACTTCAGTATATTTAAAATATTCTGCTTTGAAATAAAAGACACCTGAGCAAACATTGTCTTGGATAAACAGAATAACTTCTGTTTCTGTGTAAATTTGTGTTTTATTGTGTGAATCAAACATATCAGCTGGTTTGAAGCAGCTAATGTGTGTTTTATATGCGACTCGGACGGCCAAAAATGTAAAGGAAGAGGAAAGTTTTTAGTTTCTATAACCTGCCACTGCCATTGCCTCGAATAAATGCTTGTCTCCCTATATCTGGCTGCTGGATTTTTCTGTACATATTGAACACAAATAAATAAAAAAGATTACACTACTTGATGTGTTCACTGGTAAATGTTGTTCTAATCCTGTTTTGTAGTTTATTGAAGTATATTTTCATATTATAATAAGAAAAGCAAAACAAAGTTGCCATTTATATTTTGTTTTTAAACATTTCCATCACAATTTCAGATGCTCTTTTTTTCAATCATTAAATTATTTATAACTCTCTTTAATATTTATAAACCTTTAATGCAATTTCCTGCTTATTTCACTACTAAGTAAATGTTCTCATTTAAGATTTGAATTGAACCAAGTCTGACAATTTTATAGCACCTGTTTTAATAAAAATGGCTGTTTGTGCAATCTTTGTATCCTACTTGATTATTGTATTGTAGTTTGTTCATTTATTTACCCTTTAAAAAATACATTATCAATATGTACTAATATATTAGTACATATAATTTACTAATATATTTTTCTCATAAAAAACATCAAATAAAATATTAAATTGTTATAAATTAAAAAATTATGAAGAACTTATTTTATTTTATGAATATCTGTAGTGTAGTGAATTTTTTTTTAAATTTTTGAATTCGAAAAAAAAAAAAAAGAAAAATTACTTTTATTTTTTAGGTTTCAGCCGGATGTGGATGGTTCCTATCTACGTCAGACGCATTGACGTGACGACAGTCGTCAGGATCGCTCCGTGTGACAGATGCCAGGTCAGGGAAACCCGCTTCATTCAGCGCCGCGGAGCGAAGCGGGGCGGCGGGAAATTTTCTCCGGCTCCGCTGAAGGAAAACATGTCCGGCGACAAGGCGACGGGATCCTGTAGCAGGTTCCAGCCGAACATCTTCAATAAGAGCAAATGTCAGAACTGTTTCAAGTCCCGGGAACTTCACCCGCCGAACCGCAGCGACCTGGAGCAGGTAGGTCCCCGCCGCAGGTCCCCGCCGCTGGTCCAGCGGCGGGGACCGGGACCAGCCGCTGGGTCCCAGTGATGTTCCCTAATATCATAAAGTTATTGATCCGTGTGAACAGTTCCTGTCATCATAAAGTTATTGATCCGTGTGAACAGTTCCTGTCATCTTGCGGTTCTTCGCTCGTTTCTCCAGTATTTATGTGTAAATAATTAAAATGTGAATTTTGACTTATTTTTGCTTTTATTTACTATTTTTATCTCGTTATCAATTAAATGTTATTAAAATACAAAAATATTTTACTTAATGAGGAATGTTTAGTTTTTAACTTGTTGAAACAAAATTTGTTTTATTACACTTAGATAGTTTTTGGTCACTTAAAAATTCACTTTTTCTAAGTCTGATCTCAGTTTAACTTGTGATAAAAAACATTAACTTACAGATTCCTCTGTTAATTTCTTTCATCACACATGATGGTTTTATAACCTCAGGCAAAGTGTAATATGAAAGTTATCCTGAGTAAATATAAACATTGAGTTTTTCTAATAATGACGTTATTTATTGAGGAAGAAGAAAGTTTCCAACACAACCTGGCCGTTTTAATTAGGCCAAACTGCAGTTTTTCTCTCTTGGCACCAACAGACATGCAGCTTCTGCAGCAACTTGCAGTGAATCTTTTACATCACTGTGGAGGAATTCTGGCCCACTGAGCCCAATGAGCCCAGCGCTTTATTTCAACATCTGTTTGCTTTACAGCAGAAAGAGAAACAGTTTGATCTGACTGGCTGAAATCTCACTTTTACATTCATGTTTTTAATTTGAGGAAGGAAGAAAAGAAGGAAGGAAGGAAGGAAGGAAGGAAGGAAGGAAGGAAGGAAAGAAGGAAGGAAGGAAGGAACAAAGGAAGGAAGGAAAGAAAGTAGGAAGGAAGGAAAGTAGGAAGGAAGAAAAGTAGGAAGGAAGGAAGGAAGGAAAGAAAGGAAGAAGGAAGGAGAACTGACTGCCATGATTCCTCCACCTATGTTTTTCTGTCCTTTAATGTTGTTTTTTAAGTGCTGGGTTAGTCTTGGTTGGTCTTGGTTAGTTCAGATTAGTTCCGGTTAGTTTGAATTTCTTCAGATTAGTTTAGTTTAGTCTGTGTTAGTTTGGATTGTCTAGTTTAGTTTGTCTAATAAGTTTAAGTTAGTCTGAGTTTGTTTTGATCAGTTCAGGTTAGCTTTGTTTGGTCAGCCTGAGTTAGTTGTTGTTGGATTAGTTTAAATGAGTTCAGGTTGGTCTGGGTTACTTTTACAGCAGCTGATTTGTCCGTTCTCTGAATTTCCCTCAGAGTTTCTCAGATCATCCATGAGCCCGGTCTCTGTTTGCTGTTCTGCTTGTGGCCTGCTTCCTGCTGTCAGACCGGTTCTGTTTACGATGTTTCAGTGATCAGCCTGACTTGGAAAAAAAGTTTTTACATCTTGATGAAATCGTCTGGCAGCGTTGTTCCAGGATGTTATCACCTCTGACCTCATGCCAGGTTTCTGTGCAGCCTGTAATTTCAGCGCGTTGCTCAACCTGCAGACTTGCTGCACGCCGCTGCTCTGACGCAGCCTGTTGTGCCTCCAGATATGAAATGCTACACAGCTCTATGATGTGTCTTTAATAAATCTGCTATAGTTTGATTTTGAGGCGGAACCCTGTAGAACGAATCTAAAGTCCTTCTGTTTTCGTTTGTGAACCAGATGCTGATAATATCAAATACATATCAAATAGAGATATGGAAATATAACATGGACGACATTCAGCTAATTTTCCACGTATCACTTGGAAAAAATGACCACAATAGTCAATTCTGATCAATGGCTTCAGGATTTCCCTGAAAATGTTTCCTGGACTAATTTGTACCAACGGGTCCTGTTACTGGTCCTCTTTCTGTCTCCTGACCTTTGACCCTGATGGGTCCTTCCTGCCCTCTCTGCCTCCAGGCAAAGCCCGTTTACGTCGGCTGGTTGTGTTTGGCTCCTGAGGGAACGGACTTTGATAATCCCGCCCAGAGGTCCAGGGTAGGACATGATTCTGATTTCTGACTTCATAACGTTTCTCTCTCTGCTCCTAACAGAATGTTTTGTGTTTCTAGAAATGGCAGCGGCGTTTCTTTATCCTGTACGAACACGGCAGCCTGACGTACGCGCTGGACGAGCTGGTAGGAACCACAGAGACGGTTCTGATCCGGAACTGAGACCAGTTACGGAGATGAATCCTAATTATAAATATGAAACCTGGTCATAAACATTAATCCAGGTTTATTAACATTAATCCAGGTTTATTAACATTAATCCAGGTTTATTAACATTAATCCAGGTTTATTAACATTAATCCTGGTTTATTAACATTAATCCTGGTTTATTAACATTAATCCTGGTTTATTAACATTAATCCTGGTTTATTAACATTAATCCTGGTTTATTAACATTAATCCTGGTTTATTAACATTAATCCTGGTTTATTAACATTAATCCAGGTTTATTAACATTAATCCTGGTTTATTAACATTAATCCAGGTTTATTAACATTAATCCTGGTTTATTAACATTAATCCAGGTTTATTAACATTAATCCAGGTTTATTAACATTAATCCAGGTTTATTAACATTAATCCAGGTTTATTAACATTAATCCAGGTTTATTAACATTAATCCAGGTTATTAACATTAATCCTGGTTTATTAACATTAATCCAGGTTTATTAACATTAATCCAGGTTTATTAACATTAATCCTGGTTTATTAACATTAATCCAGGTTTATTAACATTAATCCTGGTTTATCAACATTAATCCTGTTTATTAACATTAATCCAGGTTTATCAACATTAATCCAGGTTTATTAACATTAATCCAGGTTTATTAACATTAATCCAGGTTTATTAACATTAATCCAGGTTTATTAACATTAATCCAGGTTTATTAACATTAATCCAGGTTTATTAACATTAATCCTGGTTTATTAACATTAATCCTGGTTTATTAACATTAATCCTGGTTTATTAACATTAATCCTGGTTTATTAACATTAATCCAGGTTTATTAACATTAATCCTGGTTTATTAACATTAATCCTGGTTTATTAACATTAATCCAGGTTTATTAACATTAATCCTGGTTTATTAACATTAATCCAGGTTTATTAACATTAATCCAGGTTTATTAACATTAATCCTGGTTTATTAACATTAATCCTGGTTTATTAACATTAATCCTGGTTTATTAACATTAATCCAGGTTTATTAACATTAATCCAGGTTTATTAACATTAATCCTGGTTTATTAACATTAATCCAGGTTTATTAACATTAATCCAGGTTTATTAACATTAATCCTGGTTTATTAACATTAATCCTGGTTTATTAACATTAATCCTGGTTTATTAACATTAATCCTGGTTTATTAACATTAATCCAGGTTTATTAACATTAATCCAGGTTTATTAACATTAATCCAGGTTTATTAACATTAATCCTGGTTTATTAACATTAATCCAGGTTTATTAACATTAATCCAGGTTTATTAACATTAATCCAGGTTTATTAACATTAATCCTGGTTTATTAACATTAATCCAGGTTTATTAACATTAATCCTGGTTTATTAACATTAATCCAGGTTTATTAACATTAATCCAGGTTTATTAACACTAATCCTGGTTCTGCAGAGTTCCTGGGATTAAACTCAGTGTTTTTTACTCTCTCTCTCTTTCAGCCCAGCACTCTGCCACAGGGAACCGTCAACATGAACCTGTGTACCGCCGTTACGGACGCCGAGCCCCGGACCGGCCAGAGGAACGCGCTCTGCATCGCCACTGCGACGCAGGAAGTCTTCATCCGCGGCGACAGCAGAGAGATCATCAGCGGGTCAGCAGGAAACTGGACGCCACTCTCAGCCAATCAGACGCAGACTCACCAGCTCTCTCTCTCTCTGTCCTCACCAGGTGGGGCGAGCAGCTCACCGCGTACCTGTCTGCTAACGAACAGCAGAAGAAGAAACACAGCGTTGACTCTGTGGCCAATCAGGTAGCAGAAAAACTCAAACTCTGAAGTGCTGAAGCTAAAAGCCTCCAGCAGCAGAGGAAACTAGTTCAGAATAAACCTGAGTCCACAAAGTGAAACTGTAAAGGTGTTTGTGTTTCCACTGTCAGCAAGCAGGAAGGTGTCTGATCACGGAGTCTCAGACTTCGCAGCTGCAGAGGATTTAATGATCGCTGGTGAAGAAGCTGCAGCTTCACGTTGTGTTTATTACAAATGATCAATAAAAATCTTTATTTGATCTTCAGCGTTTTAATGAATGAAAATGCTCAATATGCTAGTTGATCAGAAAGTGATCTTATGTGCTTATATAAATATATGTATTTTAAGTTAAAATCTAAATTTTGCAGATCTGAAATCCAAAAGATATCTGGGAAAATATTTGAATTTCCAGAAGTTCTCCGTCCGTCTACTCCTTGTCTGTCGGTCCGTTTGTTCCTCTCTTCACTCCTGGTGGAAGAAAAACTCTCTGATCTTTTTCTGAAGTTTTTCTGAAGTTTTAGCGTCTGTAACGCCTTGCTCTCTGTTTCCATGACAACCATCAGGACCCCAGCCCAGCAAACATGGCCGCCGCCGGTCGGACCAGCCCTGCGGGCCCAGACGGGCCTCCTGTCCGGGCCGCAGCCAGAACCGACCCGCCTGCAGGTGGAGGTAAAGACGGGATCAGGTCCTGATCTCGACTTTTACTCTATTTCTTTTCATTATTATTTGAGTGAGAGATCAGAAAACGGAAGCAGCAGTTTGACCTTCACATGACCTCTGAGATGCCGTTGCATTTCCTTATTCCTGAAAGTATAAAAAAGAAAAATAATAAACTATCAGGCCATCAAGACATATTATTAGAATAAATATTTAGTTTATATATTAAAAATATGAAATTAGTTTTATTTAAATCGTGTAAATTCTCAGCTGATGCTCATTTGCAGTAAAACTGATGCAGTTAGAAATAGAGAATAAATTGATTTCATGCCAGTGAAGGAGACCGTGTGGGCAGATCCGGTTTGCTGCGGCGCTGGTTTAACACGGCGGACCAGTGAGGCCTTCACTGGTTTGTTTCCTTCAGCATTCCTTCCAGTTTCTGTCATCAGAACCAGTTCTGGTTCTGTTTACTCCCAACTGGACCCGTCTCCTTCCTCCGCTCAGCGATGATGTCACCAGGCGCCATGTTGGCCTCTGGCAGCCATTCATCAGCAGCGTTTCAACATCGCTGCTGCCATGGCAACGCTAGGGATTATCTGCTGATAATCCAGAGCTGGGCGGGACGAGCGTTTATTCTTCAGGTCAAAGGTCAAATGGAACGTTTTCATCGGTATTAAGGAACTATTGACATAAAAACTATAAAAAATATCTTGATGGAGAGTTGAGTTAGTTTCCTATTTTTTATAGTGAACCAAAGTTATTTGGGGAGCTTTTGTGTTTTTGCAGTGTATGAACCAGAGGAACTGAATCTGGAGCCGGGCCCCGCCTCCTCGCTGACCCCTGTGACCCCTGTGACCTCAGGCGGCGCCGGACGCCTGGCCGGCTCGGTCAGCTCCCCGGAGTTATCAGCCGCCGGCCATTACGACCAGAACCAGAACCAGAACCAGAGCAGAAGGTTAGACATCCGACCAGTTTCCACCTCCCGGTTACTGGTTTTATTCTCTAGTTACTGGTTTTATCCTCTAGTTACTGGTTTCATCGTCTAGTTACTGGTTTTATCCTCTAGTTACTGGTTTCATCGTCTAGTTGGGGCCTGCCATGCAATGCATAAGGAGAGCAGTTACTGACTTGCAAAGCAAGTCAGTAACTGCCTCCATGCATTGCATGGCAGGCACCTATTAATCTACACCCAATAGAATGTCTCTTTATTATTGGGGCCTGCCCATAGCAATGCATAAGGAGAGCAGTTACTGACTTGCGAAGCAAGTCAGTAACTGCCTCCATGCATTGCATGGCAGGCACCTATTATTCTACACCCAATAGAATATCTCTTTATTGGGGCCCTGCCCATAGCAATGCATAAGGAGAGCAGTTACTGACTTGCGAAGCAAGTCAGTAACTGCCTCCATGCATTGCATGGCAGGCACCTATTAATCTACACCCAATAGAATGTCTCTTTATTATTGGGGCCTGCCCATAGCAATGCATAAGGAGAGCAGTTACTGACTTGCGAAGCAAGTCAGTAACTGCCTCCATGCATTGCATGGCAGGCACCTATTATTCTACACCCAATAGAATATCTCTTTATTGGGGCCCTGCCCATAGCAATGCATAAGGAGAGCAGTTACTGACTTGCGAAGCAAGTCAGTAACTGCCTCCATGCATTGCATGGCAGGCACCTATTATTCTACACCCAATAGAATGCCTCTTTATTATTATTGGGGCCTGCCCATAGCAATGCATAAGGAGAGCAGTGACTGACTTGCGAAGCAAGTCAGTCACTGCCTCCATGCATTGCATGGCAGGCACCTATTAATCTACACCCAATAGAATGCCTCTTTATTATTATTATAGATCTTTATTTTTCTTCCGTAGACCGGAATGCGGCTCGCACCGCTGCGAGCTCACCCACAAAAGTGGTATCAAAACGTGCGGCTCGTTCCCGGCATTGGAGCTATTACTTTTATGGGGAATCGGCGTTACGACGGCGACGTAAAAAGCGAAAAACGAGCGAAATTTCCAACTGCCGAAATGCAGAGCATAACTGCCACCAACTGCCGCTCCGCTAGAGTGAAAAATGAAGTGGATTTCTGACCCCAAATAAATTTTGAAATCGCCGTCACGCCCACAAATATCGTGCAATCGGTCTCAAACTCGGTCATGACATAGATACGAATGTTTGCTCCGGTAAAATGTTTTCAAAATTTTTCTAGGGCTTACGGTTTTCTGTCAAGGTACTTTAGAGCAAAATCAAGTTCCAGCCTAACTGACGCTCTCCACCATGTATTTTAATACTTTTATGGAAAATTTCAGACCACAGCACACAACATTTTTCTCTCATCACTGTAATTACTGTGAATGAGCTACAGATTTGATTTGCAGGACTATAGGAGACAAAAATAGCTCTCTCATACGCTTCAAACGGTTTTCCGATACGTATCACGGTTTCCGAACGGCAAGGAGTTGTTCGGGCTGCTTTTTCCATTATAACTGACTGAGCTGTCTCACAAAGATAGAAATCTGTCTCTGCCTCACACACATGACAGTTGACCTCTTTAGAACTACAATTCCTGAAGGTTAGAACTACAACATGGCGGAACACTCAGTGCCTACAAAAGAGATCAGAGCTGATTGTCAAAACTACAACATGGTGGAACTGTCAGTTACTACTGAGGAGGAATGAGCTGGCCTTTAGAATTACATTGTGTTTGGGCTTTTTATCACTGATTTTAACCAACCATTGTTACACACAGTATTTGTGTGTCAATTTTAAATTAAGCTGAATGAAAATTTCAAAATAAAAGCCCTGAGATTCTTTTATATCACGTAATTGCTCTCTTGGACATTATGTGACTTTTTTAACAAAACCACTGTTAAACTTTGGATTATTTTGGACATTTAAAATTAAGCTGAATGAAAATTTCAAAATAAAACCTTGAATATTTCTCTCAGGCCTGTCAGAAAAACTAACTTCTTCAAGCATTTAAAATTAAGTCTCTCCTTATGTGTCACACTGACATGACAGTTGACCTCCTCTTTAGAACTACAATTTCTGAAGGTTAGAACTACAACATGGCGGAACACTCAGTGCCTACAGAAGAGGTCATAGGTGAATATAAAAACTACAACATGGTGGAACTGTCAGTTACTACTAAGGAGGAATGAGCTGGCCATGACAAGTACTTGGTTTTTGGGAATTTTAGAACTGATTTCAAAACTCCATAGTTACACATGGGATTAGTGTTACCATTAAAATTAAGCTTAATGTAAATTTCAAAATAAAAGCCTTGACAATTTTTCCATCAAGTAATTGCTCTTTTGACCACTATATAACTGATTTAAACCCAATCAGTGTTAAACATGGGATGAGATTGGCCATTTAAAATTAATCTCAATGAAAATTTCAAAATAAAAGCCTTAAGATTCCTTTCTGGCTCATGCCTATTTTAGGCAAAATGGCTGCCTCAAACTGATAGAATTATGTCTCCCCCTGTCTGACTCACAGCTGGCAGAGGATCCATTACCATGGCAACGGAACACAAAGGGGCCAGCTGATTAGGACTACAAAAACGCATCACTGTAGTTCTAACTATGGCAGAATTCAGAGAACAAAGCTGGACTTTAGAGCTGCTTGTGTTTTGGGCCTTTTATAACTATTTTTAACTAACCATTGTTACACATGGAATTAGTGTGGGAATTTTAAATTAACTTTAAAAAAATTTCAAAATAAAAGCCTTGAGAATTTTTAGATTAAATAAGTGCTCTTTTGACCATTATATGTCTGATTTAACCAAATCACTGTTATACATGGGATTACATTGACCATTTAAAATGAAACATTCTGAACATTTCAAAATAAAAGCCTTAAGATTCGGCCGTGGCTAATGCAGCGCCTGAGGCGCTGCAATGATATTAGCTTGCATTATCTTTTCCTCTCAAGTTAGGGCACTGTCTTGCGCAGCAAGACAGTGCATTAGCATTTAGTATACTGAATGCAGTAAGTCATGCTTGTGACTCCCCACATTGTATTGATGACATTGCAGCTTTCTTTAGCATGGATGCTAATGTTTAGCATCAGAACGCTGGGTCAAAATCGACGGGCACACTTTGGCAGGCCCCGGTTAAATTTCTTCAGGAATTTTCTAGTTATAGTTCTTTATTTTTCTTCCGTAGACCGGAATGCGGCTCGCACCGCTGCGAGCCCACCCACAAAAGTGGTATCAAAACGTGCGGCTTGTTCCCGGCATTGGAGCTATTACTTTTATGGGGAATCGGCGTTATGACGGCGACGTAAAAAGCAAAAAACGAGCAAAATTTCCAACTGCCGAACCGAAAAGCTCAACTGCCAAAACCTAGAGTGTAACTGACGTTTCGTTAGAGTGTGGGAAGCAGTGCGATTCTGACCCCAAATAAATTTTGAAATCGCCGCCACGCCCACAAATATCGTGCAATCGGTATGAAACTCGGACATGACATCGATACGTATGTCTGCTCCGGTAAAATGTTTTCAAAATTTTTCTAGGGCTTACGGTTTTCTGTCAAGGTGCTTTAGAGCAAAATCAAGTTCCAGCCTAACTGACGCTCTCCACCATATTTTTCATATTTTTATGGAAAATTTCAGACCTCAACACACACCATTTTTATATCATCGCTGCAATTACTATGAATGAGCTACAGATTTGATTTGCAGGACTATCGGAGACAAAAAATAGCTCTCTCATATGCTTCAAACGGTTTTCCGATACGTATCACGGTTCCCGAACGGCAAGGAGTTGTTCGGGCTGCTTTTTCCATTATAACTGACTGAGCTGTCTCACAAAGATAGAAATCTGTCTCTGCCTCACACACATGACTGTTGACCTCTTTAGAACTACAATTCCTGAAGGTTAGAACTACAACATGGCGGAACACTCAGTGCCTACAAAAGAGCTCAGAGCTGATTGTCAGAACTACAACATGGCAGAACTGTCAGTTACTGCTGAGGAGGAATGAGCTGGCCTTTAGAATTACATTGTGTTTGGGCTTTTATAACTAATTGTAAGCAACCACTGTTACAGACAGGAATAGTTTGGCAATTTTAAATTAAGCTTAATAAAAATTTCGAAATAAACCTGGAATATTTCTCTCAGGCCTGTCAGAAAAACTAACTTCTTCAAGCACTTAGAATTAAGCCTGTCCTTGTGTGTCACACTGACATGACAGTTGACCTCCTCTTTAGAACTACAATTCCTGAAGGTTAGAACTACAACATGGCGGAACACTCAGTGCCTACAGAAGAGGTCATAGGTGAATATAAAACTACCACATGGTGGAACTGTCAGTTACTGCTGAGGAGGAATGAGCTGGCCTTTAGAATTACATTGTGTTTGGGCTTTTTATCACTGATTTTAACCAGCCATTGTTACACACAGTATTTGTGTGGAAACTTTAAATTAAGCTGAATGAAAATTTCAAATAAAACCTTGAATATTTCTCTCAGGCCTGTCAGAAAAACTAACATCTTCAAGCACTTAGAATTAAGCCTCTCCTTGTGTGTCACACTGACATGACAGTTGACCTCCTCTTTAGAACTACAATTCCTGAAGGTTAGAACTACAACATGGCGGAACACTCAGTGCCTACAGAAGAGGTCATAGGTGAATATAGAAACTACAACATGGTGGAACTGTCAGTTACTACTGATGAGTAATCAGCTGGCCATGACAAGTACTTGGTTTTTGGGAATTTTAGAACTGATTTCAAAACTCCATAGTTACACATGGGATTAGTGTTACCATTAAAATTAAGCTTAATGTAAATTTCAAAATAAAAGCCTTGACAATTTTTCCATCAAGTAATTGCTCTTTTGACCACTATATGACTGATTTAACCCAATCAGTGTTAAACATGGGATGAGATTGGCCATTTAAAATTAATCTCAATGAAAATTTCAAAATAAAAGCCTTAAGATTCGTT